ATTTGAGAGGTTATAGTTGTGAAGTTAGACTTTGCAATATACAACCGTCTTGGTTGAGCTGAATACGCGAACTGAATAATTATTTTGTTGCTATCATAATATATGGAACCTATCAATATAACTTATTTTTTAATATTTTACAGTATCAATTGACTACTAGAATCATTCTCTAGTTAATTTATAGAAATATAGTTTATCTTAAAAGTTGAAATGTAGGTATTAAACCACTGAACAATAAAAAAATCAAATAATGAATTACCTATTGCAGGAAATTAAATAAAACTTATAGATGGTAGATAATAGTCCAAAAATGATATTTTTTTCTGTTTAAGACAATTGTTTTTTTTTTTTTTTTTTGAATCAAATATTTTAAACGATTTAAACAACACCGGATTTGGTTAAACTAAATTATCAAATCATGTTTTAAACATCTTAACTTGGGTATACTCGTATATTGTTTCTAAAATTGTGGCGTCGTTTGCTGCTGCTCGTACTCCGTACTACCTCATACTTTGGGCCCAAAAAGACCAACTGCTATACTCCACGTACCGAGTACGCGTGACATAGGCCATAAGTCATCTACCTGATATATATGATCCGATACCTAACCTAACCAGCAGCGCTCAAACCAAGAAATTAAGACAAATTAAAATTAAGTTCTTGAAGACCACGAATGTCGATTTCACTCATAGAAAATGATATACTTATCAATGATTCGCTTTTTAATTTGTTTCTTCGTACCAAGTATAAAAAAAAATAATAAGATTTGACACGAACAATGTTATATTGTTTTTCCTTTTTCATTTACCAGTACTTTAACATTCCATTTGACGATAAACAGTTGAACGCGCATACCTGCTTATGTAAGGTACCACAGTTTATTATATTTATATTAGTAGCGCTCAAACCAAGAAATGTAGAAAAATTAAAATGTACGAAGACCACGCGAATGCCGGTTAAAAACCAGCAACTCGCAGAAAACGATGTACTTATCAATGATTCGCTTTTATGTTGTTTCTTCTTATAACACTTCTTCGTTTGACGAAAGAAAACTTAACGTATCTACCTGCTTGCGTAACGTAACGATTTAACTAATAATAATATTTGAATTGGATTAAGATACGTGTCTGCGGATCCCTAATATGTCTATCATTGTAGCTCGTTGAGCTCCTCCAAACGTCCCGCGTCCTTGGCTAGCTCACATCCCAGAGACGCGGGATACGGTATCCGAACTCCGTCAAATAATCGGATCGCCGAGTTGGATCCGCGACGGGACGCGCACGGTACGCTTCGCACAATGAATATAACAGCACAACGGGTGATAATATTATAGTTATTATAATGTAACGCACAGAATTAATACAATCGCTGCACCGTTTGATGGGTAAGTGTTTTTTCATTATTTTCATTCATTTGTTTTTTAACCGACCACGCCACCGCCGCTATCCGAACATCTGCCGAAAACTTTTCTCATCTTCAGGGGGCCTTGAACCCGTGCTTCGTACGGATGTGTTTGTCCAGGTAGCCGGGCCGCACGTACGTCTTGCCGCACACTGCGCACAAGCACGATTTGAGCCTTATGTGCGAACGTACGTGCTCGGCCAGGTTGTTGCGGCGGGTGAATGCCCTGTGGCACACGCTGCACGCGTATGGCGCCGCGCCTCTATGCGCCTTCTCGTGGTCCGCGGCTGTCGAGCCCTGTTTGTACGTGTCGCCGCACACGGGGCTTGCGGGTGACCCAGGCCCCGGGCGCCCATGCACTGCGTCCACGTGCAGGACCAGGCTCTTCTCCAAGAACGCCGCTGGACACCACGGGCACACCTTCGGCTTGTCCGAGTGATTGGTCCGCATGTGGTCCACCAGCTTAGGGTAGCTGATGATCCTGCTCAGGCACGACCAGCACCGGAACGGCTTCAGCACTGGTTCGACGAAGCCACCTCCTTTATCCTGCTCCTGGTCCTGCGCGGCTACCAACACTCGGTCCCCGTGGGCTTCCATTAGCGGCTTTCCGAATGGCTCCGGGAGAAGTTTTCAAAAGTTCCCGCGACGCTTGTCGGTTTGGACGGTTCTAACTGATTCGCTAATGCTGTACTCCTACTATACTGCTATACGGTAACGGTTATCTGAGAAGCTCTGTACTCTGTGGTGATGAACCGGTACATAAATTTCAAACGCTCACGTTCGTCTGCGTTTGTTTATCTTCTTCGCGTTTGCAACGAGTTTGTTTGTCACCCATCGTTAGGGATACGGTTTCCCGGTAAATTGTGCAAGCCGAATAATTTTATGCACGCGATAAACAATGGAATATGACTCGTTAGACGGGGGAGGACGATCTGAAACCACCTGTCGAGATTACGCGTCAAAACTAATATTTGAATACTTCGTTTCCCATCGGTGTTGGGTGACGAAAACCATCGGAACGCCGTCGTCAAAATTTTTTCACGAATTACGATGAATATATTTTATTACACTCAGTTCTCAAACCACAGGTGAAGAAACTATTGACGTTCTCAGGAGCACGATTTTTATTTAAGTATAAAATTGTAAGCCACATTCAGTGGCGGATAGGCATATATTTTTTTTTACCTGGAAGGAAATGGAAGGGCCTAAATAGGTTAGGCCTCCTAAAAAATAAGCCGTTCGCTTTGCTCGCAACATATTATTATGTAACAATATAATACATAATTATTTTTCAAATTTTTCGTAGTACTAGTAAGTACAGTTATTTTGATTTTTAATGATTCACTATTTAACGCAACTTTATCAACTATGGTAACTGAACAAATATAAGTTAAAATTTCTTTTTCTACACTAATGAGAATGAAACTTTTTAAATGGTCTTGAGTGATAGAGTTTCTCAAATAATTTCTAATATATTTTAATTTTGAAAAACTATGCTCACAACCTACTTGTGATTCTGAAAATGTTAAAAGTAGTTTATAAGATAAATACAGAACCGGATAAGCTTTAGTGTACAAATTATAGTTAACTAAAATACTAAAACAACAAGCAACACAACACTTGAAAGATGTGATAGTATTATCTACTAAGTGAATACTAATTCTTTTGGCTCGTTTTCTACAATTAAACCAAAAAGTAAATTCATATTAAGTAAAATTATAAGCATGCTGTAGGTCTCATAATATAAATTAACTATTATTTAAAAGCCATATATATAGGTACGTACTAGTATTATTAACTAGTTCATCTGTAGTATCTTCAAAACTTTTATTTTGAGTTATGTACATTTGTACAGTTTATTTTAAATTTATCCCGTTTTGAAACAAAGTTTATGTACTCTAGACCAGTGCTTCTCAACCTTTTTTGTTATAGGGCTCTTTAAAATTAATGTAAAACCATCAAGGCCCCCCTCAATTAAACTCAATAATTGTTTATTGTTAATGATATACTAAATTTACATGCACTATTTGCATGCACAAATGATAAACATTGTCGGCATCTATGTTTATATTGTTTTTATCTGTAAATCAAAATATTTTATAAAAATTGTAATGCAATTCTTGCTAAAAAATGAAATTTCAAATAAAAATTAAACAATTTTTATTATTTGTATTTAAATTCAATAGATGGTAGAGACAGATGGATACTTTACACATTAAATGCATACAAATGCTGCACTATGTGCATTGTATTTTTATACTTATTAGTTATTTTTAATATATTATACACTATTAACCAAACACAATCATCAATATTTATTAATATTGTTGTATCTAGTTAAGCCCACATACAAATATCACTAAATTAAATTTATTTGGTAATATTTAGATTCAAATTTCAAGTATAGAAAATCAAAATAATGCTTTTGTTAACAATAATGGTATGTACCAACAAAATCATCTTTTTTTCAAAATTAAAAAAAAATAATAATATCTACTGATCAATTAAATGCAGGCCAAATGGATTTGCTGCATCACATTTTACAAGAACAAATTGAGATTAAATTAGTGCTCAATCGAATTTTATCGAAATTAGAGAATTTAGAAGGAAATTCTAAACAAAATACAAGTACTTATTTAGAAACAGATTTTTTAAACTATTTTCTAATAAATAACCAAGACCAATTGAATAAAGTTAATGATTTTATTTTAAACGAATTAGGATTCATTGATAAACTAGTATGTAACAACTAGGGTTTTAAAAATTCATGAAATTTATTTTCTTGAAATATTTCATGAAAAATTTCATAAAAAATTCATGAAATATTTCATTTCCATGAAAAATAAAAATAAAATATTTATTATATCTAAAAGTATGGTTAATTCGTAAACCTTGGTTGACAAGTGATACCTAACTGATAACTTATTAATTATTAATGTTTTCTGAGTGTAATCAATATATTATTTCTAATCATCTATAACCGAACACGTTTAAAAGAAAAAAAAATATTTTTCATAATTTCATTGAAATATTTCATTTGAAATATTTCAAGTGAAATATTTCAAATTTAAAACCCTAGTAACAACTAATAATTATGTTAAATTAATTTTGATAAATATTAAGTTAGTGTTTTTTAAAGGCATATTTTTTTAAATCCATTGGAGGAAATGATCAAAAGAAAATCATATTAATAGAGCTTTGAGCAAAATCTTTATTATCATTAAATTATTATTAATTTTATTTATTAAATTTATTATCATTTATTAAACATTATTATCAGATGAATTTGTAATAAGTGTTACAGATGTAAAATATAAATGTTTTTTGTACCAATATCACATAATAAGGCAATTGTAACAACATTAGTTCATAGTATACTATGAACTAATGTTGTTACATGTATACATCTGAGTTCTGCTAGTTATTCATATTAAAATTGTTAATATTTGGTATCTATTTTATTTATTACATTATTATATTTATTTTATTGATGTATTATATTTAAATATACTATAACATAATTATGTATGTAAATATGTTTATAAAAATAAATAATATTTGATCTTGAAAACTGTATTGTAATTATAATACCTATAGGTTGTTGAGTACCATTGTCCTGTCTTTAGTTTATTTAATTTTAAATGCAGTGGCGTATTTACGATGGGGGGGTCCAGGGGTACTGACCCCCCTCCCTCGGAACCTCTCAAAATAATAAAAAATTAACAACAATTCTTACATATTTGCAGAATTGGCTATGTTAAATATTCACAGGAAAGTTGAAATTATTGTTGAAGTGATAGAGGAGTTGGCCAAAAAATCGAGACAACTGGAATTTATTTTATAACAAGTTTCATACTGTATTCAATTATCATATATATTTAAAAAAAATATTAATATTGTTAATCACATTATATAAAAGGTTTAATCAAAATTGTAAGAAAATTAATAATCATGTAAAAATTCAAACATTGTATTAATCATAAATTTTGTAAACCATATCATATCATGTTAAAAAAAAAAAAA